TAGTCATCTCTGTGCACGTGCTGCTGCCTTGGCTGCTGGGATTTGGCCAGAGTGACCATGGAGCAGGGCCAGGGCATTATGAAAAAGCGCTAGGTTAGGTTTCAGTTTTCTGGGATTAGACCGAAAGATTTAGTTGCCAATTGTCATCAACCATATTTCTCACACTTTGCTCGATGAGTTACATTATCTCCAAAAGAAACCAGAAGGCTGTTTAGAAGTCCATAGTCTTACTGTAAATTGCCATCCAGTGAGTTGAGGCTCTTGCAGTCTACCTCTGATCTTCTGTTCTAATGTCAGAGTGTTAATAGGAGGGATTATTGAAAGCTTTTTTTAATAGAAAGGCATATAAGACTTTTACTTTTTAGAACACTTTTATGTATATGAATAATTAAACCACAATAGCATGTGTTAGATATGTACCTAAAAGACAACAAAAATAGGTCTTAGAAAATACCCTTTTTTTTTTTTTTTGAGACTGGGTGGGTCAGAGGATGCTATTCCTAAATTCCTCTTGTGATATGTTACCAGTCTGTTTATTTTGGCAAGATAAACTGTTAAGACTTAACAAATGATGGCTGTAAAGCACATGCTTTGTTAAGTATATAAACAGGCCACAGATGTTTCTATGGAAAGAAAGTATCTTATTCATCTCCATATTCCAGTGCCTGGCTCTTAGCATTCGATAGATGATGGTGATGATGATGATGATGATGATTTTGAGACAGGGTCTTGCTCTGTCACCCAAGCTGAGGTGCAGTGGTATAATATTGGCTCACTGCAACTTCTGCCTCCCGGGTTTAAGCGATTCTCCTGCCTCAGTCTCCTGAGTAGGTGGAACTACAGGCATATTCCACCACGCCTGGCAAATTTTTGTATTTTTAATAGAGATGGGGTTTTGCTGTCTTGGCCAGGCTAGTCTTGAACTCCTGATTTCAGGTGATCCAACCATTTCAGCCTTTCAAAGTGCTGGGATTATAGGCATGAGCCACCATGCCTGACTGAGAGCTCTCCTACAGTATAAACCTAGGAGTGGAATTTTTTGATCAGAGACTATGTAAATGTTCACTTTTAGAAGATAGTAGTGTCAAATGTTTGTTAAAGTGATTGGACCAATGTATTACACGTATGTGAGTTCTCAGTGATCCATGTTCTCACCAACACTTACTGCCAAATTAATTTGCTTTCCCAAGTAACAATAACATTGAACGTCTTTTCATATATTTAAATATGTAGTTCCGTGATTCCTCTTTTGAAATGCTTGTGTCCAATGCCCGTTTTCCTAATGGGATGTTTGTCTTTTCCTTACTGATTTGTAGAAAGTCTATATATGTCCTAAAACTAGTATTTTGTTGGTTGTATGTGTTCCAGATTGATATGGTTTGGCTCTGTGTCCCCACCCAAATCACATGTCGAATTATAATCTTGTAATACCCACGTGCCAGGGGCAGGGACCTGGTGGGAGGTGATTGGATTAAGGGGGTGGTGGTTTCCCACATGCTGTCTCATGATAGTGTGTGGCAGTTCTCTCCTTGCTCTGTCTCTCCTGCTCTGCCATGCTAAGACGTGCTTACTTCCCCTTTGCCTTCCACCACGACAGTAAGTTTCCTGAGGCCTCCCAGTCATGCTTCCCGTTAAGCCTGTGGAACTGTGAGTCAGTTAAATCTCTTTTTCATAATTACCCAGTCTCAAGTAATTCTTTACAGCAGTGAGAGAATGAACTAATACACAGATCTATTCTTTTTTATGGCTCCTTTTTCACTTTATCGTCTCTTTTTTTTCCTGTATTTAAAATTTGGAATAATTTTAGATTTACAGAAAATTTGCAAAGACAGCACAGAGTTTCCATGTGCCTTGTGCCCAGTTTCTCTTAATAGTGTCGTCTTTTGTAGCCATATGGCACACTTGTCAGAGCTAAGAAATGACCACTGGCGTATTATCAGTGACTAAACTACAGGCTTTATTGGATTTCAGCAAGTTTCCACCAATGTCCTCTTCCTGTGCCACGACCTAGTCCTGGATATCACATTGCATTTTGACTTCATCATATTTTTTGAAGAACAAGTGTTCCTCATCTTAATGTAGTTGAAAGTTGTTTTTTGTTTTTTAATGATTTGTAATTTGTTTCTAATGTAAAGATGCCTACCCTTCCTGTGTTTTTTTCTAAATTCTTTAAAATTTGCCTTTCATGATTTTAACGTCTTAGAATTTAATCGAGTAGGGATGCAAATTGTTTTTCTCCATGTGGATAACAGGTTTTTTTTTCTCCAACATTTATTGAATAGTCCTTCATCCTCAATGATCTGCCATATGCAGTTTTTATATAAGTGTGGGTCTCCCCTCCGCCTCCCGGGTGCAAGCGATTCTCCTGCCTCAGCCTCCCAAGTAGCTGGGACTACAGGCGCCCGCCACCGCGCCCGGCTCCCGCCACCTCGCCCGGCTCCCGCCACCTCGCCCGGCTCCCGCCACCTCGCCCGGCTCCCGCCACCACGCCCGGCTAATTTTTGTCTTTTTAGTAGAGACAGGGTTTTGTCATGTTGACCAGGCTGGTCTCGAACTCCTGACCTCGGGTGATCCACCCGCCTCAGTCTTCCAAAGTATTGGAATTACTGGTGTGAGCCACCATGCCCGGCCCCTCCTTATTCTTCTTCCTTTTTTTTTGAGACGGAGTCTCGCTCTGTCACCCAGGCTGGAGTGCAGTGGCTGGATCTCGGTTCACTGCAAGCTCCGCCTGCCGGGTTCACGCCATTCTTCTGCCTCAGCCTCCCGAGTAGCTGGGACTACAGGCGCCGCCACCTCGCCCGGCTAATTTTTTTGTATTTTTAGTAGAGATGGGGTTTCACCGTGTTGGCCAGGATGGTCTCGATCTCCTGACCTTGTGATCCTCCCGCCTCGGCCTCCCAAAGTGCTGGGATGACAGCTGTGAGCCACCGCACCCAGCCGCCCCTCCTTATTCTTAATCAACATCTTCTAAGTGGGTGTTTCTGGGTTTGCAACTTTAAAAATAAACACTTAGATCTCTGTGTGCTGATGGCGCCCTAATTTGTGTTTCTGGCCCTGAGCTCTTTCCTGAACTCCAGACAGGCATCAAACAGTTAACGTTCCCGGTTGGATTCCTATTTTGGATCTAAAATTTAACATGTTCATCTCCCAGTATGCATCATCTCACATTGGCCTGTCCGACACCTCCATCCTTCTGTATCCTAGGAATCTTCCCAGCTGTCAGGGTAAAACCCCCCGCCCCCGGCTTGTTTTCTGTCTTGCCTCAGGTCATTTTCCAGTGTCAGCCCTTTCTCCAAAATCTGTACCCAGTTTGGCCACTTGCCATCATCTCTACCCTGGTCCGTGGCACCATTATACTTTGCAGTGTAAGCAGTGTGATTTTCCTTTAAAGAATTTTATCTGGCCAGGTACAGTAACTTACACCTGTAATCCCAGCACTTTGGGAGACTGAGGCAGGCGAATCCCTTGAGGCCAGGAGTTCGAGACCATCCTGGCCAACATGGCGAAACCCCATCTCTACTAAAAATACAAACATTAGTTGGGCATGATGGTGTACACTTGTAGTCCCAGCTACTCAGGAGGCTGAGGCAGGAGAATCACTTGAACCCAGGAAGCAGACACTGTAGTGAGCTGAGATCACACCACTGTACTCTAGCCTGGGTGACAGAGCGAGACTCCATCTCAAAAAAAAAAAAAAAAGTGTTCTATCTGTTTCAAGCATTGCAGTGGCTTCCTGTTGCAATTGAAAGAAAACTTAGTGTCCTTGTCATAGCCTATCAAGGCATTTGGTCTGTTCCTTGCCTGCCAGCCCCCATTCTCACCCCATGTTATGTCAGGACCTGGCACGGTTTGCTCCAGGTCCACCAGCTCTCTCTCAGTGGTATAAATGCCAGGCTCATTCTTGCCTCCTGACCTTGCAGGTTTTAAAACTAGAGTGACCTTTTAGCCAAATGTTAGCTCCATTCAGGGAGATCTTGGACCACAAGTAACTCTATGAAACAGCCTGGTGATGTACATTGTCATCCTACCTTTTTCTCTGATGATTTTTCTCTTCTTTCTCAGTGGTGTAGTTTAGGTGTTAACACTTTAATTCAGTAATAGTAGTTAAATGAAGAAGAAAGAATAGGAAAGAGGAAAATTAGGAATAACAAGCTAAACAATTTCACTGCGACTACCTTGAAGTGTATACAGCCTCATGGTCTTGTTAGTGGATCTTGTACAGGTCTAGTTACATCTGGTACTATGCTTGTGGAGAGGCCTATTCAGCCAGTCAGAGCTTTGGGCAAGGAGAATCCTTGCTTTCCCTCATCTTCTCATCTACTCGTCTCTTTTTCTAAGTCTCCCACATGTGCTTCCTTTGTAAGAAGAAAAACTAACTGCAGTGAACCAGAAAGACGGAGAACCAAAAAGAGGGAGAAATTTATTTCCACATTTACAAAGTATTTGTGCTTGTAAAATTCTGAATTTTCTCTAAGTATGGGACACTTTAGGTATTTCTCTAATATTTTTTTGAAGACATTTAATGCTTTTCTACTGTATGGGATTTGCTGTTCTTTTTTATTATAAGTTATTTCTTGTTAAGGAGCACTGGTAGAGTTCTCCCCACATATTCTTACACCTGCTGATTAAGTCAGTCTGTTTTCATCATTCTTCAGTTTCTCTAAAACCATTTTAACGTGTGTAGGGTGTATAATTTTTTTTTTTATTTTAACAATTCTCTTCTTGACTACAGAAAATGTTAATATTATTTTTATTTGAAAAATGCATGTTCTGCATAACACTGAACAGCTGGTTTTTAAAATAAACTTTAATTCCAGATTGCCTAAGACTTACTTAGACTGAACTTAGAAAGATTTTAGAAAGTTCAGTAAGAACTTATTAATAATTGGGAAGTTCTGTTAAAGGAAAAACTTACACTATTTGTATGAGTTTACATGACTTGTTATAATGCCAACTGTTGTTCTCTGAACATTTGTTTTATGAATGTTCTTTTCTTTTAGCTTGATAAAGATGACATGGTATACATGGAAGCATATGATAAATTGTTGGAGTCCTGGTTAACTTTGGTTCAAGATGACAAACATTTCCATAAAGGCTTTTTTACCCAGCATGCAGTTCAAGTTTTCAATTCCTATATTCAGTGCCACCTAGCCGCTCCAGATGGCACAAGAAATTTGGTGAGTTTTACGCAAGATGGTAATTAGCAGTCTATTTCATCATAGGCTATATTTCACCGTGTTACACGTTACATAATGCCAGAAATTCAGGATGGGTTCCCTCAGAAGATTTGCCGCAAGCAGAAGTGGCCTTGTTGTCTGAGTTCTTATTATATGGGATGTTGCTTGTATATATTCCTTTTCAGTTACCCACCTCTTTCTGTCTAGCTGTCAAGAGATATGAATAATTTGGACCATGGATGTCCGGTCTTTTCAGTGACAGAAGTTCAATGCTCCCATGTGGGAGGTGGGTTGTGGGCATGCAGTTAGTTGTGTTGATCACCATGGAGTGATTCCTGTACCTCTTGCTCTTGTATGTTTCCCTGTTTTGATAACTATCCCGGCTGGCAGCCGTGTTAGAAGGGAGTTCGTAGATAACTGTGCTCGAAGGTTGGCTGTGTCCTGCTCTCCTTTTGCTCTGCAGTGCTAAGCTGTCTAAGCTGTGTTATGGAGCCGCAGAAGTGCACGTGGAATAGGTAATGCAGTTCCTCATTGTTTATTGCTTTCACTTGCAATAGACTGCCAATGGCGTGGCCTCTCGTGAGGAGGAAGAAATAAGTGAACTTCAAGAGGATGATCGAGACCAGTTTTCTGATCAACTGGCCAGTGTAGGAATGCTAGGAAGAATTGCTGCAGAGCACTGTATACCTCTTCTGACAAGGTACACACAGTCCAGAGAAACCCCATGGAGCAAATGTTCTCCACTCACACTTCCCTGGAGGGCACTTAAAGTGTGTAAAGACTTTAAACACCCCACCCCGTGTCCCGCACACTGGAACAAATGGACAGGAACATACTCATGATTGCCTTCCTTGGCTTAGACATTTGGAGCCCAGGCACTACAGTGTAGATGGCAGAGAGATTATGGAAAACATGGTATGAGAAATGATTTGACCCATATCAGTAAAAACTTGGAATAACCAGTTTTCAAATGCCTTTTGTAAACCTTGTTTGTAAAGCAGTGTTTTAATTCTGTGTTATAAAAAATAAATCATAATTCCTGTAGTGCTATGAGAACAGTTGTGTACTATAATGTTTTTGTATATGTGTTTTTACGCTAACATTTAATTCGTGTTGTCTGATATATGGAAGTTGTAAGTTGTTCCATGTCTTTGCTTATTGAACTTTATGAAGCTGCTGTTTTCTCCTCTTTTAGTTTATTAGAAGAAAGAGTAACAAGACTCCATGGTCAGTTACAACGACATCAGCAACAATTACTTGCTTCACCGGGTTCAAGCACTATTGACAACAAAATGCTTGATGATCTCTATGAAGATATTCACTGGCTTATTTTAGTTACAGGTTGGTTGGTGGTTTCTTTTTAAAATGTAATTGCCAACTGAGCAGTTTAAGCCTTAAAAGAAGCTTCATATGTGAAAAACAATAGTGTGTATACAATATTGGATAAAATTTGGATACAGCTATTTTCTGTCATAGAACTATGGATGCATTTTTTAAAAATACTGGCTAATATGTATGCAGTGCTATTGCATACCAAATGTTTTACGGATCTCATTTTACCCGCTGAATTAGTATTGCTAGGTAGTATTACTGTTATCATCATCATCGTCATTATCCCCAACTAATAGATGAAGAAGCTGGGACTTGGAGAGTATAAGAAACTAGCCCATTGTCACAGTGCTGTTCATTTTTGGAGCCAGAATGTAAATCTAGGCAGTCTGACTCTTAGGATCTGCTTTTTTGACCACCATACTGTTAGTGATTCCATATTTTAAATAATAAGGAAAAAATCTTGACTTTTGAAAATGAATTCCCTAATATTGACTTCTAATATAGATAGTAGCAGAATTTCTATTAACTTTACAGAATACAGTACTGAAAATTATTTAAGACAGTAGATTAAAAAGCCCCTATGAATTACAAAATTGGTGAATAAAACATTTGTCCTTTTCTGTATTTTTGAGGGTTACTTATCTGAGACGTAGAAAGTTTTTTTGCATAAACTTGAAATTAACAGGTTAACATTTATAATTTACATCAATTTATATGATGTATCTAAATCAAATAAAACTGAAAACATTTATAGTACAATTTGATAAATGTAGATTTGTTAAGTGTTCATTTTTAATTTTTTTTAAACTGAAGGCTACCTCTTAGCTGATGATACTCAGGGAGAGACTCCGCTAATACCTCCAGAAATAATGGAATATTCCATTAAGCATTCATCTGAAGTTGACATTAATACAACACTTCAAATTTTGGGATCTCCAGGAGAAAAGGCTTCTTCCATCCCAGGGTACAACAGAACAGATTCTGTGATTAGGTAATATAAACTCTATAGCTGTGCTCTTGTAATTTTTATACTGTTTGATACATTCTGAGTTGATGGGTAGATGGCTGGAGTGATAGGCACGTTGTAAATCTGATACATGAAAAAATGAAAAGTTGGAGAAGCCTTGAAATACACAAGGATGGCAAGTACTCAGTGTATTTAGGCAATGCCACTCTAGTGAGAGTTGACAGCTATCCCCAGTACTGAAGAAGAGAAATGTCACATTATTCTGAATACGATGAGACTTGGAAGGGACATTGGATGTAGTTGTGAGCGTAACGCCTGTCCATCAGAGGGCAGTACTGAATTGGATGTAGTTGTGAGCGTAGCGCCTGTCCATCAGAGGGCAGTACTGATGCATGCAGGCGCCCTAGACAAAGGGGACCAGATGAACATTAAGTCTCGCTCATAAAAGCTAAAACTATGTTTCGGTGGCTTTCTCATGGAAAATGATAGATAATTCGTTATCTCAAAAAATGGAAATATTTATTCTAAATGTGAAACTGAAGAGCCCTGTTAGAAGACAGGAGAGTGCCTCAAATGAAATGATTCACTTTAATCTTTCTAGTACTAATGGCAAAATTTTCATTAATTCTTAATGGTGAAATTAAGGAGGGGTAAACCTGTATTAAAAATGTTCCAGACCGGGCGCGGTGGCTCAACCCTGTAATCCCAGCACTTTGGGAGGCCGAGACGGGCGGATCACAAGGTCAGGAGATCGAGACCATTCTGGCTAACACAGTGAAACCCCGTCTCTACTAAAAAAATACAAAAAAAAAAAAACTAGCCGGGCGAGGTGGCGGGCGCCTGTAGTCCCAGCTACTTGGGAGGCTGAGGCAAGAGAATGGCGTAAACCCGGGAGGTGGATCTTGCAGTGAGCTGAGATCCGGCCACTGCACTCCAGGCTGGGCGACAGAGCGAGACTCCATCTCAAAAAAAAAAAAATGTTCTGGCCAGGTGCAGTGGCTCACGCCTGCAATCTCAGCACTTTGGGAGGCTGAGGCGGGCGGATCACGAGGTCAAGAGATTGAGACCATCCTGACCAACATGGTGAAACCCTGTCTCTACTAAAAATACAAAAATTAGCTGGGTGTGGTGGTGCATGCCTGTAGTCCCAGCTACTCGGGAGGCTGAGGCAGGAGAACCGTTTGAACCTGGGAGGCAGAGGTTGCAGTGAGCTCAGATCACGCCGCTGCACTCCAGCCTGGCAACAGAGCAAGGCTCTGTCTCCAAAAAAAAAAAAAAGTTCCTAAAAGTGGATTTGAAAACAACATGTAAAATTTCAGTATCTTTATTTTAAATGTAGGTTGCAAGCAGAGATGTCGGTAATGATAATAACATTGGTTTTTATCAGCTGCAAAACCAGTTACTCAAACAGGATTCTGTCCCCTTTATTCTTTTTGAATAAAGGGGACATATTTTTTATGCAAAAATATATGGATATCATTTAAACATGCAATAGAAAATGTGGCTTTTAAAAAAATAGTTGAGGCCGGGCGCGGTGGCTCAAGCCTGTAATCCCAGCACTTTGGGAGGCCGAGACGGGCGGATCACGAGGTCAGGAGATCGAGACCATCCTGGCCAACACGGTGAAACCCCGTCTCTACTAAAAATACAAAAAAAAAAAAAAAAACTAGCCGGGCGAGGTGGCGGGCGCCTGTAGTCCCAGCTACTCGGGAGGCTGAGGCAGGAGAATGGCGGGAACCCGGGAGGCGGAGCTTGCAGTGAGCTGAGATCCGGCCACTGCACTCCAGTCCGGGCTACAGGGCAAGACTCCGTCTCAAAAAAAAAAAAAAAATAGTTGAAATATTAAGCTGATAACCAAGGATATGTGGGGAAATTTATTTCCTTTATTGTTGCATTGTCTTGTTTGAAATAAAATCATACTTTATTGAAAAAGTTACATCTTCATTTTAGGATTACTATAGTCATTAGATTTAGTGTCTCTGGAAATCAGTGCTTTGCTCTGGTTTGGTTGATGGTGAATGTTAATTTAAAAAGCAGTTCATTTCAGGGTGCTATCATATCATATATTCTTCGTTGTATTGTTTGCTTGGGCAGTAGCATTAGGAGTGCTTTCCTTGTATTTTAAGTGCTTTTTCAATTTTTGTCAGTCCCAGGTGTTAGTGTGGGAGCGACACATTTTGGTATCTGAGAGCACAGACTATGGTGGATTGGGACAAAAAAAAAACTCACTATATTTTTAATCCAAAGAATTAATATGAAATTTAATGTTATATGGTAGAAACATTTCTTGTTTCACTAAAAAAGCAGCCCATACTTTCTTAAAACAGGTATCATTTGAGAAATAATTATTGACTACTGACTACCTAACAGGGAGCCTTTGGGTATTTGAACAAAACAGATAGAAGTCACTCCTCTTTTAAAGCTCTTTGTAAAGGAGAGAGAATAAATAAGTAAATTATGTAGTCTGTTAGAAGACAACAAATGTGACAGGTAAAAAGCTAGAGTGAGAGTATCAGTAGGGATTGTTGTAGCTGTCATTAGTGTGGTCAGTGTTGGCTTTATTAGAAGGTGATGGGAGCAGAGATGGGAGGCTGGTAAGGGAGGCCATGCAGGTGTCTGCGGGGAGAGCATTCCAAGCAAAATACACAGTGAATGCAAAGGCCTTGGGCCTGCCTGGCATGTTCAAGAACAGCCGTGGTGTGTTGAGCAGAGTGAGGTGGAATTTTGTAGGAGATGGAGTTAGGAAAATAGAAGGAAAACAGATAAGGTCTTAGGCCTTTGTAACATCTTTGGCTTTTGTTCTGAATGAAGCAGCATGCCGTTGTAGGGTTTTGAGCAGGAGAGTAACTTAAATGTTAAGAAGTTGACTCTGCTGCATTGAGAGTAAACGATGGAGGCTGGGCACCGTGGCTCACACTTGGAATCCTAGCACTTTGAAAGGCCAACGTGGGCAGATTGCCTTAGCTCAGAAGTTCAAGACCAGGCGGGGCAATGTTGAAACCCCGTCTCTACTAAATACAAAAAATTAGCCAGCCATCGTGGTGCTCACCTCCTGTAGTCCCAGCTACTCAGGAGGGTGAGGCATGATAATTGCTTGAAGCTGGGAGGCAGAGGTTGCAGTGAGCTGAGATCACACCACTGCCCTCCAGCCTGGGCGACACAGCGAGACCCTGTCTCAAGAAAAAAAACACACAAAAAAACCTGAGAGTAAGTGATGGAAGCCAGGAGACCAGTTAGGAGACAAATTGCAGTAATCCAAGAGAAAGATGATGGTGGCTCAGACCTACACTGGAGGTTGTGAGAAGTTAAAGAAAGCTCTGTTTGTTTTATTGTGTTGACTTTGGATTTATGACGTACAAATGTAATCTAGGATTGACTTGGAAAATATGAGAAACTGAGTGCTGTTTGGAATATATTTGTAGATATAGTGCTTTAAGAAATTGAAGTACGAATGGGGTATTAATCTTGGAATATCAACAATTTAAAAATATTTTGATGTTTTTATCAGTTGGATTTCAACTCCCCTGCGTGCCAGCATCTGAGGGTACAGTTAGAAGTGTGTATGGGTGTTACAGGAGCTCCTGGTTCCCCTAATCCATGGGCAGAGGAGAACCAGAGGTGGCTTCTTGAAGCATAAGAGTACTTCAGGCAGTGACAATAGCATGAGCAGCGATGTTATTGGAAAGGGGTCCCTGAGGGTTCTCGGATCTTGTGCAAGAAAGAATTCAAGGCGAGCCCATAGAGTAAAGTGAAAGCAAGTTTATTAAGAAAGTAAAGGAATAAAAGAATGGCTACTCCACAGACAGAGCAGGAAGTTCCTGAAAATAAGAAATAAGAAAATAAGAGGAGGAACACATCCACAATTCTTTGTGTGTGTGTGTGTGTGTGTGTGTGTGTGTGTGTGTGTATGTGTGTGTGTGTGTGTGTGTATGTGTGTGTGTATATGTGTGTATGTGTGTGTGTATGTGTGTGTGTGTGTGTATATGTGTGTATGTGTGTGTGTGTATGTGTGTGTATATATATGAGATAAAAAAAGATCATGGGGCGATGCTACAAGAGTTTGTGATAAAGGATTAATTTTCTTAATTACTGTATGTTGCAAGAATCAGTACTGCTGTCTTTTAAGCAAAATTAGGAATGCTTTTGTTCTACAGATGTCAGAATATCTGGACACTCCCAAGTCTGGGTCTGTTTAGTAAATCTTACTAATTTGTTCCCTTAACTGTAAACATCTAGAGAATAGGGAATGCTTGGCTTTCTGGGAATGCAGCCCGTCAGGTCCCAGGTCGTTTCCAGCCCTCACTCCAGAGGCAGTCAGTCTGGTCCAGCCCTCACTCCAAGTCAGTCTGGTCCAGCCCTCACTCCAGAGGCAGTCAGTCTGGTCCCAGCCCTCACTCCAGAGGCAGTCAGTCTGGTCCAGCCCTCACTCCAGAGGCAGTGAGCTGGCCTGGTCCCCCAGCCCTCACTCCAGAGGCAGTCAGTCTGGTCCAGCCTCACTCCAGAGGCAGTCAGTCTGGTCCCAGCCCCACCCAGGAGGCAGTCAGTTCTGTCCCAGCCCTCACTCCAGAGGCAGTCAGTCTGGTCCCAGCCCTCACTCCAGAGGCAGTCAGTCTGGTCCAGCCCTCACTCCAGATGCAGTCAGTTCCACAAACCGTCGCCTCTCACAGTAAGAGAGCCCTGCTCAAGTGAGAGGAACTTAGGTGTAGCTGGTGTGTGACCCAGGAGGGCAGGGCGATGGCCTTGGTAGGGGGTGAGGGTGGAGAGGCAGGGAGGATGCTGTGGGTGGGGCTGATAAAGTGGGAGTAAAAGTACTGACAAAGATTTACAGCCGAGAAGTGAAGTGATCAAATTATTTTAGAGATACTATTCCATGGGTGATCAATTTAAAGGGTGGTAAGGCAAGTTAGGAAGCATTTTCCTTAGTAGTCTTGGAATGAAGATGGAGACAGGTTCTTGGGTTATGAGGTATTTCCGAGGTAGAAGAAAGGCTCCTGGGCGCCTCGCCTGGACCTGCCTGACTCAGGCTGAGTGGCTCTTTCATTGATGTTTCTTCCACTTTACAAAAGAAAGGCCAAAGTTTTCACTTCTACCTCTGAACATGTGGATTGGCAGGCGTGTAAAACCCTACAGAGGAGAGGGACAGGTGCAAACAGTGTGGCACCAAGTGACTGAGTCACTAGCGAGTGGACAGTTGGCAGGTTTCAGCCCTTTGCATCAAATAACATGAAGAGGACCTAATCACATCAACTAAGAGATTATTAAAAATAATTTTTGTTGGTAGATCTCTGTGATTTTTGGCATATAACTTGGAAGAAATACAAATAATTGGGTGATTCTGCTATTTTAAAAATAGGTTCTACTTATATGACATTTTCTCAGTACTTATATCAAAAGGAAAAATAGGAATCAAATCATGCTCACCTCGCTCATCTGGTAATAGGTGGTGGTCATTCAAAGACACATGAACTAAGTGGGGAAAGAACCCTACCAAGTTAATCACACTATGAGATGCACACACTTCTATGTTTGTGTTTATTTATGTTTGATAATTTATTTAAATTTATATTGTTTTGCTCAGTTGTCTAGTTTTAAGTATCATAATGATAACTCAATCCAGAAGACATTTTTAAACACTTACGGTCTTATGGTCATTGAAAATGTTTAAAGGTTATCTTTCAATATGTAGACATTTGTATCAGAGTATGTAGTATGATGAATAAAATACTGGAACATAAAAATTATATTAGGATAATGTTCTATGGAAAAGGAAATTGAAATAAAAACAAGGAAAATTTGTTTACATTTTTAATGGATTATAGTGGGTACCAGAACATTATGATAATAAATTATGCACACTGGAGAGTGCATAAATGTAAAGTGTTAATGTAACCATTTTATTTTGAATTTTGTTAGGCTGGAATATATATTTAAAATGATTTAATCTTACCGGAAATTTTGACACATCTGCAACTTAAATGTATTACTGTATTGGGAGATTGTTGGGGTTTTGTTTGTTTGTGGTGTTGTTCACATACTCCCTAAAAAAAATTTCTAAAGTTTGAGCACTTGTGGTATAGGAAGTGTGCGTGCAGTGAAGAAGGCTTGGCATGGTGGCTCATGCCTGTAATCCCAACACTTTGGGAGGCCAAGGTGGGAGGATTGCTTGAGCTCAGGAGTTCACGACCAGCCTGGGTGACATGACGAAACCCTGTCTTTAAAAAAATTTTGTAAATCGGCCTTGTGTGGTAGTGTTTGCCTGTAGTCCCAGCTACTTGAGAGACTCAGAAGGTTAAAGCTGCAGTGAACCGTGATTGTGTCTGGGCATACTGCTGCCTGGGTGACGGAGCAACTCTGTCTGAAACAGAAAAAAATAGAAGAGATTCTGGGCTGGAACCTTAAAACCCTCCTGATTTAAAGAAGGAGGTCAGGAGAAGAGGATGCTCCTATAGAGACTGGGAAAGAGGAAGCAGGTGGCTAGATGAAGGGGGGAAGGGCAGTGACCCCAGGGAGGCTGCAGGAAGATAAGGGCGATGACAGTGGGCCATACAGTGGGGTAAAGAACTGAAACATGTTTGTATGATTTCATGACGAGATCATTTCAGGCTTCCTGAGAGCACTAGTAAAGGAGCATAAGCCGAATTTGAGTGTTTAGAATCCTTTTCTCAGCACCAATATTCTTTGGTGTGTAATGGGTTCTTTCCGTTACATCCTTTGCTTCCTTGCCTTTTGGCTAAAGTCAAGTTAAATATATATCACTTCTGATTATATGCCCTCCTCAACAAAGACATTTCTATTTGTCTGCATGTCACGCTATGTGACTGACACCACACGACCATATGAATTATGTAGTGTAGGAAAGGACAATACGTGTACTTACACAGGTAATCTTTCTAGCAAGAGTTTTATTTCAAATTACCGTGAAGAATCAAGTTTATTAGATTAGATTTAAACGAGGCACAATAGTCAAACTTTCTAGATAACACCCAGATCTTGTACTATAACATGACCATGACATAAAGCCACAGACCATACTTAGATAACACCCAGATCTTGTACTATAACATGACCATGACATAAAGCCACAGACCATACTAACCAGGGCAGTTTTAAGTAGTGATGCTAAAAGAATTTGGCATGTACTCTGAAGATTTAATTGGATGTATTTCTCTGAAAGTTTTGAATCTGAAAATTCTGTTTAGCTAGTAATGCTGAGATTCCCGCATGTGGTTATGACTTCAGCAGAAGGATGTCTTTAGTGTTGACTCTTCCTTTCTTTATCTTGTCTCCTGCTTCGCGAAAGATCAGAAGTAATACAGGACACTTGTCTAAAACTCTGTTGATGAAATTTTCAAGTATAGCCTGACCTTAATTCAGATAATTGAAAGAGCAAAAAGGACTTTTAAGGAAAAAAATACAGTTAGACAACCACTAAATAAATCCAAGAATAAATGACTTCTGTTTTATACCTACAGGCTGTTGTCTGCCATTCTCAGAGTTTCAGAAGTTGAATCTCGAGCAATAAGAGCAGATCTCACTCATCTACTAAGTCCTCAGATGGGCAAAGATATTGTCTGGTTTTTAAAACGCTGGGCAAAGACTTATCTCCTGGTGGATGAAAAACTGTATGATCAGGTCAGAATGTAAAACTGTTAAAACTTCATTTGGATTTATGATGATGGCAGTTACAGAAGCAGGAACATTTTTCTTTGTGGGTTTTTCATCAAAATGTAACTGTTTAAGAGCAGTTCAACATTTTCTATGTTGAAGAGAATTACGTGACTGGAATGCTCTTTTAATTGTGTTTTAGAGCACATCACTTGATTTAGTTTATTTTAACCACTATTGAAGATAAAGATTATTATTTGGGAATAGATTATGTTTTTTTTTTATTTGGTGTAATATTATGTTACTTTTTTAATACTATGGGAATAACAGAAGTTGACGGGAAAATCACACTGGAAAATGTGAGTGGATTGAGGATGTCTTTTTTTTTGACCTGTGAAAATGAGTACCTGCTTGTAAAGTTGATGTGAAGTAAGCACTGCTTCAGATTAGATACTGATTTCAGTTTGATTTTTGTTTTTTTGTTTTTTTTTTTTTCCTTGAGTTGATCTTTCTTGCTTACCTTAAAAAATTTGTTTCCTCTCTTAAGATAAGTCTGCCATTCAGTACAGCGTTTGGAGCAGATACAGAGGGTTCTCAGTGGATAATTGGCTACCTCTTACAAAAAGTCATCAGTAACCTCTCGGTCTGGAGTAGTGAGCAGGACCTTGCAAATGACACTGTGCAGCTCCTTGTCACTTTGGTGGAAAGAAGAGAAAGGTTAGCTCATTGTTGGAGGCTGACTGTGTGTATATGTGTGTCGGTGAGAAACTCTTTTTCCCTTCCTGGTGTAGTTCTTTGAACAGGCAAATGGTTACACGGTCCTGATTCTAGCTAGATCCTTCATTTTTGGAATAGTGCATTTAAAAAACTAAATCACACTGTTATTACAAATGCAAATAGAGCTTTCCCTTCTTATAATTGAGCATTACATTGACTCCTTCAGGATTTGGCATCAAAGCCCTATGAGTAACACATTAGTAATTTATAGTGTTGTGGACACTTTTATGTTGAATGTGGTCTTTTGAATTTTTAGACATCTTATCCCCATTTTAAATATTAAATACTGATATTTAAAATTTAATGTTGGAAAGTAAAATTTTTAGTGCTTTCTACAACAATTCTAGAAATGTTTTCGTTGTTCTTACTGTATAGGAATATCATTGTTATTATTACCATTGTCATTGGCTGGTTTATTGAATTCTTATAATTTACTATGTACTCTTCTAAGCACGTCATAGGTAGTATCTCGTTTAATCATTATATCAGTCTCAGCCGCGTGAGACTGTTATTATTCCTATTTTGCAGATTATAGAGAAGTGATTATTGATAGAGGTTAAATTTTACATCGCCAAACAACTAGTGGCATTTGAATGTAAGCCTGTGTGACTTCAAAGTCTATCCTGTTTACTGTGCTTTGCTTTAAAAGTAATTAAATCTAGCTATTTTTTATTTTTGTTTTCTTTGTGTGTATGTGTATATATAGTAATACATCTTATGTTTTGTTATTTCTACCTGTAGGGCAAACTTAGTAATTCAGTGTGAGAACTGGTGGAACTTAGCTAAGCAGTTTGCAAGCCGAAGCCCACCTCTTAATTTCTTGTCAAGTCCTGTGCAGAGGACATTGATGAAGGCTCTAGTCTTAGGAGGTTTTGCACATATGGACACGGAAACCAAACAGCAGTATTGGACAGAGGTAACAGTGCCTTCTATTTTGATTGCACCCTTTTGTGTAACTCTGTAGTTCCTTTATCTATGCATTGCCGTAAAAGAGTCTGTGGAGACATAAACATATCAGTCATAGCTTTTCTTTCTTTTTTTTTTTTTATTTTTGAGACAGGGTCTTACTCTGTTGTCCAGGGTGGCATGCAGTGGTGCAATCTCGGCTCATTGCAGCCTCTACCTCCCGGGTTCAAGCAATTCTCCTGCCTCAGCCTCCCAAGTGACTGGGACTACAGACTCATGCCACCATACCCAGCTAATTTTTGTATTTTTAGTAGAAACGGGATTTTGCCATGTTGGCCAGGCTGGTCTCAAACTCCTGGCCTCAAGCAATCTGCCTGCCTTGGCCTCCCAAAGTGCTGGGACTACAGGTGTGAGCAGCCACTGTGCCCGGCCCAGTCATAGCTTTTCTGATACTTTTTTCTCCTAATGAATGGGTTGAAGCTTCTTATTTTACAAATACTATCTTATAATTTGTCTGTACCTGCCTGTGTGTGATGACATTGAATATCATCAAGTGTTCTGCATTTTGGGCACATTTTCCCCAGCTCAGTTGAGAGCATGGACTGGCTTATTAAATCGTCATTAGGGATCAGGGAAACATTCTCTTGTCTTGAATAAGATGCAGATTAACCATGATAGTCATTTCCTAGGGCTGCTGTAACAAAATACCGCAATAGAAATTTGTTTTCTCCTGCTTCTGGAGGCTGGAAGTCCAAGCTATAAGGTGTCTGCGGGATTTGTTCTTTCTGAAGGCTCTATGGGAAAAACTGTAGCCTCTGGTAGCTTGCTTGGAGTCTTTGGCATTCCTTGATTTGTAAATGCATCACCCTGATGCCTGCCTTCATCTTCACGTGCTCCCGCCGTGTGTGCATCCACACTTCCCCTTTCTGTACCAGTTATGTTGAATTAGGGGTCCACCCTGTTCTGGTATGATCTCATTTGAAACAATTACATCTACGGCAACCCTATTTTCTTCTTCTTTTTTTTTGAGATGGAGTCTTGCTCTGTCACTCAGGCTGGAGTGCAGTGGTGTGATCTCGGCCCACTGCAACCTCTACCTCCTGGGTCAAGCGATTCTCCTGTCTCAGCCTCCCGAGTAGGTGGGATTACAGGTGCACACCACCACGCCCGGCCAATTTTTGTATTTTTAGTAGAGATGCGGTTTTGCCATGTTGGCCAGGCTGGTCTCCTGACCTCAGGTGATCCGCCCACCTCAGCCTTCCAAAACGTTGGGATTACAGGCATGAGCCACCATGTCCGGCCAACTCTATTATCAAATAAGTTCATGTCCTGGGGTTTGGATTTACACATATGAGTTTTTGAGGGACACAGTTTGACCCATAACAACCATGGGCACATTAATTTTTTTTTTTTTTTTTTTTTTTGAGATGGAGTCTTGCTCTGTCGCCTAGGCTGGAGTGCAGTGGCCGGATCTCAGCTCACTGCAGGCTCTGCCTCCCGGGTTCACGCCGTTCTCCTGCATCAGCCTCCTGAGTAGCTGGGACTACAGGCGCCCGCCACCTCGCCCGGCTAGTTTTTTGTATTTTCTAGTAGAAACGGGGTTTCACCGTGTTAGCCAGGATGGTCTCGAACTCCTGACCTCATGATCCGCCCGTCTCGGCCTCCCAAAGTGCTGGGACCACAGGCTGGAGCCACCGCGCCTGGCCGGGCGCATTGTTTAATAGGCTTTAAATCAAGGACCAAGAGTTGCCAGTGTGTGTGTAGGTCGCCAGCCTGCAGTGCTTGTGTCTAGAGGGCCCTTAGGGTTTGAGAAGGGGCACAGTAATGGAATTAGGCAGTTGTTTGTGACTTCAAATCCAGGGGAAACAAGACTGACTAAGTATTTTTATTTTAAACAATCGTATTATCATACGGACAGCTTTAAGTCGAATTAAGATGCTGTCCTCTTGAATATGAGTACTCTTACATACAGGGCAGGACTGATGATCTGAAGTTTACGTTCTGTGCCAAGAGGAATTAGGTAAAGGAAAAAGGAAGAAAAACAGGCGAGAGCTTTGTGTTGGGCTTCACTCTGTAGAGGTTGGCAGGCTGCAGCCCATAGGCCAAATGTGGCTTGCTGTCTGGTTTTGTAATAAAGTTTATCTTTGTTTTTTCCTTTTTGGCTAATTACTTGGAAGGAGATGGAGGGAAATGGCAGAATTCTTTGAGTGGCAGGGAGAAAGTTAGGTCCCATGCTTTGGGTGTTCTGTCTTTACATGAGCCGGAAGTTAGGATGACCCTCAAAATGGGGAATGTAAAGTCTGGTTTAGATATTCTTTATGTGCTTGTCCTGCCTCCAACAATTAGAAATGTTTTGGAAAGTGAGTATTTATCCAAGCAGAGGAAATAAAGCATGTGAACTGAGCTTTAAGAAAATTCCTGGTTTATTTTTATAGGTTCTTCAGCCACTTCAGCAGCGATTCTTAAGAGTAATAAACCAAGAAAACTTCCAGCAGATGTGTCAGCAAGAGGAAGTCAAGCAGGAAATCACTGCCACACTGGAGGCCCTGTGTGGCATTGCTGAGGCCACCCAGATTGACAACGTAGCAATCCTGTTTAATTTTTTAATGGACTTCCTTACCAATTGCATTGGGTTGATGGAAGTTTACAAGAATACCCCAGAGACTGTCAATCTCATTATAGAAGTTTTTGTTGAAGTTGCACATAAACAGATATGCTATCTTGGAGAGGTAAGCACTTTCTAATTTTATCCCTTCAGGATTAAAACTCTTTAAAGCTGTAATAAAATAATAGATCTTTACTTCAAATTTGATTAGTATTATCTTAAATAATATTTTTATTCCTCCAAAAGATTTTCAAAAAGATTTTTAAAAAGAACTTATAATTCAGAGAAAGTCATGTTGAGTGAATATAAATTCTTTTTTTTATATCTTCTAAAAAGAAACAGGATACATGTGCAGAACGTTCAGATTTGTTACATAGGTATATGTGTGCCATGGTGGTTTGCTGCACCTGAATATAAATTTTTGTCCTAAAATTTTGTTAGAAAAGGGGTAAAATTTTAAAAATAATATATTAATATATGCTTTAGAAATTATTGTTTTAATGTAGTTTAAAGCAAGAATTATTGCTACTCTTGGAATTCAGAGTTAATTTATATACTTTTAAATTTCTTTAATATCAGTGTTTGTTTCTCAAATAGATTTTACCAAGTAGCATAATTTGTGCATTTTTTTTTTTGCAGTCCAAAGCTATGAACTTATATGAATATCAGTGTTTAATATGTTTATTAAATATCAGTGTTTGTTTAATATCAGTGTTTGTTTCTCAAATAGATTCTACCAAGTAGCATAATTTGTGCATTTTTTTTTTTTTTTGCAGTCCAAAGCTATGAACTTATATGAAGCCTGCCTTACTTTGTTGCAAGTATATTCCAAGAATAATTTAGGGCGGCAAAGAATAGATGTTACAGCGGAAGAAGAGCAATACCAAGACCTGCTTCTCATTATGGAGCTTCTTACTAACCTGCTGTCCAAAGAATTCATAGATTTCAGTGATACAGGTAAAATGTAATGTGATGGTTTTTAAACTTTGTTGTTACCCTCCTTTTTATTAAAGCAAAGAATTGTTTTCTGTAAGAGACATCTCATGAGGACGTTCGATTTGTGGAATAAAGGAAAGGAGATCTCTGTGGTCGAAGCGAGGGTGGGGCCAGCGGCCCTCTTGCTTGACTTTCCTCTTGTGAGAATAACGGAAATAGTATCTCTCATTCATTCAGATCTTACTAAATGCCAAGCACTATTCTTACCTTTCACAATGGTGTGGAGTCAGTCCTGTGTTACTCTCACTTTATAGATGAGGAAACAGAGGCACAGAGAGCTTAAGTCACTTGGCCACAGATACTTAACCAGGACTGGGATTCAGATCCCAGCCTGTGACTCCAGATGCCAGTCTCTTCCCACGTCCCCCAAGGTGGCCACCCCGGCAAACCCTAGCACTTTCCGGAGTGTGGCTTGGAAAGCCCTGTTGGGATGGGAAGCACTGCTCTCTGGAGTTCACAGCCCACACTTTGAAGACCTAGCTTAGTGTCTCACCTACAGTATGATGGGGGAGTGGATTCGCCTGCCTGTGCCTCTACTAGCTGGTCAAATGGGTATCATAATAAATACCTTTCAGCGTGTTTGAAGGATCAGCTGTCAAGTGTCTTTGGTGCCTAGCATTGTGTCTCACAATCAGTAGGTAAAAGATAGTTGCTGTTACAGGCAAGACCCGGATCAGTAATTTAAACCTCATATATTTGTGTAGTTTTCAGTGCTGTAGAGTTCACTCCCCTCCTATCCCACTGCCCACCTTGCCTTCAAACAAAATGGATCCTGTTTCATAAGAGAAAAATGAGTCATATCTGGCCTCTCCTGTTACATGTTGTGCAGACATGTAGGGTGGTGGATATTTTTGGCTCCTTCCTTGTAAGATTCTAAGTTGGGTGCTATAATACCCACTTTTTTATCCCAATCCTTGAGATTGTTCTGTTTCCTTTTTTTTTTTTTCATATTCCTTATTCACTGGCCCATGGTTGTTTTTTTTGTTTTTTTCTTTTTTTTATTCTTGGGCCATGGTTTTTCCAGTATCTGCCCTGAGCTAGGTACCATCAGCTGCACAGTGTAGAAGGTTTACTGTTTATTTATTTATTTATTTATTTTTGCAGTTAACTAGGGGTTCCAAGGTGAGATAGTCTGAAAAGCACTCTACAAATTCACTTTTCCTCAGTGAATTCTTTCTGGTCTGTTTTTTCCTCTCACCCAAGTTTTCTAACTTTCTTCAGGTCATTTCTGCCTAAACCAGGAGTTCTTAACTTTTTCTTTTTTTCCTTGCTGTTGTTTGAGAGGCAGGGTCTCCCTCTGTCATCCAGGCTAGAGTGTAGTGCCGTGATCATAGCTCTTTGCAGCCTCAACCTCAGGCTCAAATGATTCTCCCACCTCAGCTTCATAAAGTGCTGGGATTACAGGTGTGAGCCACTGTGCCCAGCATTCTTAACCTCTTACTAATACAGTATTAGTTGGTTCATGGACTCTTGGAAACCTTCTATAAATTTTCCAGGTGTGTCAGGACCCCAGGCTAAGAACCTTGTACCCAGAGGAATCTGTAACTAAATGTTAAGACCCAGAGATAAAACATGTATATGTTTAGATGATTTACTGTCATGATTACCGTGTGTATCATAAATCAGCTCATTGTTTCAAATTTTTCATTTCTAGACATAGTATAATCATTTTCTTGGATTCTTATTCTGTGCCCCCACTCAGGCCCCATTTCAGACCTACTAACTCTAGAAATCTATATTTTGACTACATTTGCTAGTTGTTTCTGACATACTACCAGATTTGTCTTATTTTCAGATTCCAGGGGAGAAGTTCAGCATTAGGCTTCACAAGTGGATTTTAAGTAGACACATACCCCTCATTTGATCTTTTTGTTGTTGTTGTTATAAGAAATATGCCCTTAATAGAAAAAAATTGTAAATATAGAGACAGAAAAATCATGCTTACTTTGGACACCATCCAGAGTCAACTGTACATTCCATTTTAGGAATTTCTTTTTTGGTTATTTTTGTTCAGTTTTCTTTGTGATCATGCTCTAAATACAAGCTTGCTTTTGTTTTGCTTTTACTCCTGGCAAGCTGTGAACTAAATTCAATTTTATATTCTGTCGTTTTGTTTAATGTAGTGTTAACCTTTCCCTTCTCATTAGAATCTGTGATGATATTTTTAATGGTTATGTGGCATTCCACATTTTGGAATTTAACCTGTTTCCTAATATTGGACATCTGGAATATTTACCTTTTTGCACTTATAAAATGGTGATGCACTGATCATTTCTGTGGGCAAGGCTGTCTGAATTTCTGATTATATCCTTAATAGATAGAATGCTCAAAATGGTCTTAATATATTGCTTTTGAGGTTAACCACATTTTATCCTTACCAGCAATGAAATGTTATCATTTTTACAAATTATTTTTAATGTAATGAATCAGAAGTAGTATCTTTTTAACATTTATATTGCTTGATTAATAGTTGGAATAGACTGTTTTCCTTTAGAGTCAAGACTTTGATAAATGTTTGTTTAGAGATGTTAATTTATCTGTTTAAGTCTTAGTATTCTCATTAATTTAGATATAAGTCATATGTATTAAGAATGATAACCTTTGTCTTATTGGTTGTCCTTTTTTAAATTACTTTCTTTTTTATGTAACATTTTAATTTCTATATTTCCCGCATTCCTTTTAAGCTTAGAAATATTATACATACTTGAAATGAAATGGATATTTCTATAGAAATTGTTTAACTCATATTATGGCTACTATGCCAGTAGATGTTATATTTCAAAACATTGATTAAGCATTAGTTTTATTTCTAGACTGTCCTTTGCTCTTAACCTCCCCAATACTTCCATATCAAGTACTCATATCCCCTAATAAAACTCAAAAGGATGACACAGGGCTGGGGTCTCAGATCCTTTTTTTCACCCCTGGGTGTGCTGTTCCCTGCATCTGCTCGCCAGAGACTGGGCAGGACGAGATCAGATTCTCTATTATTCACTCATTGATTTATTTAGCCTCCAGGGGTGAGTTTATTTTCATAAAGGTAGAATACACACTTGGAAGATTTATCGATGTTACCACCATAAGCCTGCATCCTTTTATTTTAATAGATGAAGTGTTTAGAGGACATGAGCCAGGTCAAGCAGCAAACAGATCTGTGTCAGCAGCGGATGTTGTGTTGTACGGAGTGAACCTAATTCTGCCCTTGATGTCACAGGATCTCTTGAAGGTAATTAATGAAATTGAGTGTCAACATACAACTATATGTAATTGAAGTTCAAAGATACTTTAGACAAGAATATGTCTGTGATTTAATTAAGCAGTTGTATCTATTAAATGCACATGAAGATGCAGTTTTTGCATTTTCATTAATGGTTACTTGTGCGTGCTTCTCAGTAACATGGGCCCTTACTCAGTCTCTGTTTCTGCCCCAGAGTCCTGCAGGCACCCACACATTAGTGACTCGTTTTGTCAGGGAGTGCTACAGAAAGAAGCCTGTCCTTTTAGAAACGACATTCTGTTAGCAGTTTTGATTACCTCATAATTTGTCACTAAGGGAATAAAGTAAGTTAAAAGTTTCAGTGTTTTCCTCTGATACTTTCTGAACATCATTCTCAGGTTAAAGGATTGAGCAAAGGAAGGCATTTTCCAAGGGGCACCATGTAAAAATGGGATGGTAAGCATCCAAGACTGATGCTGTTTTAAAGTTTTTGCACGTTCTGACTACGTTATGCCTTGGTTTTGCCAGTTAATATTGAGGGTGTGGTGGTGGTGGGCACCATTTTTCTACCATCCATAAGTACCCTAGAGGGAGGTCTCTTGTCATGAGTTCTCATAGCAGGATAAGGGTGGGGATGAGGACATGGGTGGAAAGGAAAGGAGGACTTTGTGTATGTGCCTGGGTGCGTGCACACACACACGAGATAAGGAAGGAGAGTAGGAGGAAGTAAGAGAGCAGAGGCTGAGAAGTGTCCAGAAGGTGAGTACGTATGAGAAGAATGGGTCCTGTCAGACTGCCAGCACAGCAGGGTCGAACCGTGTGCTTCCCTCCTTGAGAACGTCTCTGACTATTGGAAACAACGCTGATGATCATGGTGTTCACGCGGCAGCCAGCCAGCAGGATGAGGAAGTTTAGTCAACTTTTCATATTGATTTGCATGTAGGGTTTGTTTAAACAAGCCAGTAAACATTTAAGTGTGTATTTTTCTTAAGTGTGGTTAAACCATATTACCTACTTTTACCTCAGTTCTCTAGGATAGTACAACTGGAAGAATGTTTTTGGAAGCATGAAGACCGAATACTCTGCTCTGTGCATAGTCTTTACAATTTGTATTAACCTTCTTGAATTTTTTCAACATGCTTGAATGGAAATACATTTACAAAAAGGTTTTACTCCCAAGTTGTTTAATAATTTTAAATCTGGCTGCCTTGTTTACTTTTTCAGGGTAAACATAGAGTATCTGAAATTGACCTTAGCTTTTATTAACTATCTAGAAGATCATTGTTTAGACTGTCTATTACTTTGTTTCATAGTAGTTACTAAAATATGCCCTTTATTTGTACCTGTTTTTACATTTAGTTTGGTCTTCATGTTTTCTATATCTCGTACATGTTTTAAAGAAATCATTATATTTAGAAGCTTGTCAGTTACTTTATTGCATTGATGAAAATAAAAATTGGATACTAATGAGCGTCCAAATAATTTAATATTTCTTTTTCAGTTTCCAACCCTTTGTAATCAATACTACAAACTAATCACATTTATTTGTGAGATTTTTCCTGAAAAAATACCACAGCTTCCTGAGGATCTGTTTAAAAGTCTGATGTACTCCCTAGAATTAGGAATGACATCATATCCTTTAAATGAACATCATTGTTACTTGTCACTTGGGGAAAAAGGTCTTCCTTTAAAGAAAAGTGTTTTAAGTTTACATTTTTTGTTTTTCTTTTGTGGTTCAATTTTATTTCTTAAAAAACCCTGGGCCAGGCGCGGTGTCTCACACCTGTAATTCCAGCACTTTGGGAGGCCAAGGTGGGTGGATCACCTGAGGTCAGGAGTTTGAGACCAGCCTGGCCAACATGGTGAAACCCCATCTCTACAAAAATACAAAAAATTAACTGGGCGTGGTGGTGTGTGCCTGTAGTCCCAGCCACTCGGGAGGCTGAGGCAGGAGAATTGCTTGAACCTGGGAGGTGGGGTTGCAGTGAGCCGAGATTGCGCGATTGCACTCCAGCCTGGGCAACAAGAGTGAAACTCTGTCTCAAAAAAAAAAGAAAAAAAACCCAAAAACCTGTCACGTCTGTAACTGCTCTGTTTCTTTCGTTAGTTTGCCTCGTCCTGTCCTTTCACAGATCTCTGAGGCATTCGGTCCTGGTTCCAGAGTTACCCCTTCATCAGGGTTGAGCGGGGTCTCTGGTCGTAGCTGTGATTGTAGAGAATAATATGACTTTTTAATAAATTGTATGTATCATAAACTGAAACAAGGCTCAAACCCAGAACCCTTACAGGCGATCTGAAGAACACTGGCAATCTTTCCTTGTATAACTCAGTGAAGATATTGCCCAGGAGTCTGCTTGTGTATCTGTATTCATTTCTAGAAACACTCATCCGTTTAACACTAGCTATAATTTTTTTTATCTTTTATAAATCGAATATATCCAATCGAGTTTGTTCTTTGACCTTCATGATCAGAATGAGTTCGGAGGTTTGCCAGCTCTGCCTGGAGGCCCTGACACCGTTAGCTGAACAGTGTGCAAAAGCACAAGAAACAGACTCACCACTTTTTCTAGCAACACGGCACTTTCTGAAGGTAAGATGTCTGTGGTAGGTCAGAAAATCATCTACTTTCAAAAGTATGGTCGGTACACAGAATTCTGCATTCAAATGAGGAAATGCTTCCATTCTTGCGGGGGCGAGGAAACCATGACTTCCTGTTCACTGTTATTTCCTGGAGATCAACTCTTCATGGACACGTTCTCATCCACTATTTTTTGTGTTCTTGAAGATTGATATGGTAAATATTGAGGGAATTTGATATTGTTGATTATTCAGCTACCACAGCAAGTTGCAATATCTTTTTTTTTTTTTTAAACATTAAGGAAAATTTCAGATTGATTTAATAAATAGAATAACAACTAACCCTCTCTTTTTGTTTTTTGGACTGGGGAGGGACTGGAGGATATATGATCATCCTATGTTTTTATTTAGAAGTCTTAATGTAATTTCAGCTGGTTTTTGATATGCTGGTTTTGCAAAAGCACAACACAGAGATGACTACTGCGGCTGGCGAAGCTTTCTACACGTTGGTGTGTTTGCACCAGGTACTGGACATGCCTCTTTTCAGGGGACTCTTCTCATTCTGTTTTGCAAAGAAATTGTTGAGATAGATGGTGGGTCATTAATCCCCCCTTTCTTATAGGATCTGTGACTCAGTGCCTCAGTTCCGTTTCAGTGAGGCAATATTTCTTAGCTTCTTTATTAGCTTTCCCATGTCAGTTTGTGTTTATCTGACAGCTGTTTGACAGTTCAAAGCATTTATTTTTTGTCCTCCACCATTATGAACCATCTTTTGTAATGGTCAGTGCCCCAAAGCCTGTGCTAGGAATGACAAATACATAATGGGTGTGTGAAGAACTCATGGTTTTGTAAGAGAAACAAGATGGCAGACAAGGAAGAGTCTGCCTTCAGACAGTATGGAAGACAGTATTTTATTGCATATTGTAGAAAACAGTATATTATTTCGTTTTGTTGATCTTTTAAAGACTCTGAAGCATCACTGATAATGGGGTTAATAGAAGAGTTAGGCTAGCTTCCCTGTCTCCCCGCTTCTGATAGAAGAAGTGCGTGTGAAATTTATGAAAAGGACCATATTGAATATTTTGCTGCCTCAGTTTCCCATTTTCCTCTCCCATGCATATATATACACACACATATATATACACATACATATATGTGTGTATATATATACCTCCCAGCATGGCCAAGAAGCTATGGCATTTTATTTCCATCTTTAAAAAGGTTTAGAGGAGGTCTTCCACACTATTTTAAAGACCTCCTTTCTCTAGATTTCCTGTAACATCTGTGCCCCAAGCTGAAGGTGCTCTGGGGCTTTATTTCTTGCTCTCTGCCGTAGGCTGCCACTTCCTGCAGGGGGTACCCCCTCTCCGATCTGTGCCCTTTCTCTGTCATTTGATATACTTGTTGCTTACTAGCAAGGTAGTCTTCTTGTCTGCATATATTTAAACCATTGCATTCTGATCCTCTCTCCCTCCTTCTTTTCTTTTTTTCTTTTTTCTTTCTCTCCCTCTTCTTTTATCTCTTTCTTTTTCTTTTCTTTCTTTCCTTCCTCCCTCCCTCCCTCCCTCCCTCCCTTCCCTTTCTTTCTCCCTCCCTCCCTCCCTCCTTTCCTCCCCCCCCCTTCCACCCTCTGTCCCTCCCCTCCCCTCCCCTCCCCTTCCATTTTAACATATTTGCACACTGTAGAAAAGAGCAGGTTTTAGGAGTGGCCAGTATGAAACCTGCTGCCTGGCCCCAGAGGCTCTACTATCTCGCTTTTTTTTTTTTTGAGACACTTTATTACCCAGGCTGAAGGGCGCTGGTACAATTACTGCTCACTCCAGCCTTGGCCTCCTGGCCTCAAGCGATCCTCCTGCCTCAGCTCCCCAAGTAGCTGGGACTACAGGTGTGCACCACCACACCTGGCTTATGTTTTGTAGAGACGGAGTTTCACCATGTTGCCCAGGCTTGTATAGAACTCCTGAACTTAAGAGATAATCCACCCGCCTCGGCCTCCCAAAGTGCCTAGGATTACAGGTGTGAGCCCCACTCCTTGCCACCTCTACCATTTCTTGTGAGTAGGGAAATGACAGGAGATTACACTTGGTCGCCTGTGAACAGGACTGTCCTAGGGATAGGGCAGTCGGCGCCGCTCTGGCTCCGTGGTTGGGCATTGGGATGCTGCACCTTACCCTTCTTTTCCAAATGTAATTAACGTTTGGTTTCTCCATTTTGGTCTATCATGATAGCCCAAGAAGCCAGTGAAAAATTACAGCATGCCAGGCGCAGTGGCTCATGCCTGTAATTTTTGCACTTTGGGAGACCAAGGTGTGTGGATCGATTGAGGCTGGGAGCTTGAGACCAGCCTGCTTAACATTGCAGAACCCCGTCTCTACTAAAATTACAAAAATGAGCCAGGCATGGTGGTGCAAGCCTGTAGTCCCAGACTCTTGGGAGGATGAGGTGGGACGATCACTTGAACCGAGGAAGCAGAGGTTGCAGTGAGACAGGATCTCACTCTGTTGCCCAGGCTGGAGTGCAGTGGAGCAGTCATGGCTCACTGCAGCCTCAACCTCCTGGGCTCAAGCGATCCTCCCACCTCAGCCTCCCAGGTAGCTGGGACTATAGCTGTGCACCACCACAACTGCCTAAGTTTTAGATGTTTTTTAGAGGTAGGATCTCACTGTGTTGCCCTGGCTGGTCTCAAATTCCTGGGCTCAAACAGTCCTCCCTCCTCAGCCTCCCAAAGTGCTAGCAGTAAAGGCCTGAGCCACTACGTCTGGCCAGACCAGCTTTTTTTTTTTTTTTTTTTTTTTTGAGACAGAGTCTCACTTTGTCGCCCAGGCTGGAGTGCAGTGGTGCAATGTCCACTCATCGCGAGCTCCGCCTCCCGGGTTCCCGCCATTCTCCTGCCTCAGCCTCCCGAGTAGCTGGGACTACAGGCGCCCGCCACCATGCCTGGCTCATTTTTTTGTATTTTTAGTAGAGACGGGGTTTCACCGTGTTAGCCAGGATGGTCTCTATCTCCTGACCTCGTGATCTGCCCACCTGGGTCCCCCAAAGTGCTGGGATTACAGGCGTGAGCCACCGCGCCCAGCCTCCAGGCCAGCTTTTTTTGAGAGCTTACCTCTGTCCTGGTTGAATTTCCCTTCAGCCTAAACCTTCTTTCACTTTCCTTTATAAGCCTTTATAATAGAGTATTAAAAATAGAAAATTTCCCATATTCCTATATTTACTAAAGTCCCTTTCCTGCCTTTTCTCTAAGAGCTGCTGGGCACAATGCTGTTTTGGAGCTTTCAGAGTGCCCTGCTCCACTTGGAGAAGGCGCTGGAATATATTTCTCCGCCCCCTCCTCCCAAAAGGCTCCTGCCTGTCCTGTCTTTGTGCACACTGCTGTCCTCAGAACTGGGTGTACAATACATCTCTATTAACCTCTGGGGAACTATTGCAGACTTAGATTATGTGTAAAATGCAAAATAAATAGGAATAATGTGCTTTGAAGAGGCAGCACAACAAAGTTATTTATCACATGGGTCTTGGGGCTACATTGCCTGGACTCTTGCTTGATCTGGGCCATATCACTTCACCTCACTGAGTATCGAAACTTTCACCTCTGGAATAGGAATAGAAACAGTACCTGTCTCAAAGCATTGTTGTAAATGATAGAGAATTAATTCATGTAGAAGGTTTTCAAACAGTAGTACTAAAATGCTGAATTCCTCTACATGTTAACTCTTAAAATGTGCCCCCACCTTTTGGAACCCCACAGTCCAGTAGCTGATATGATCTACTTGTATGATATTCTAAGGAGGATACTTGTGTTTCCTTTGTCTCTTCAATAGGCTGAATATTCTGAACTGGTCGAAACATTACTGTCAAGTCAGCAAGACCCAGTTATTTACCAGAGATTAGCAGATGCCTTCAACAAGCTCACTGCAAGCAGCACTCCTCCCACGCTGGACCGGAAGCAGAAGATGGCCTTCTTAAAGAGTTTAGAAGAATTTATGGCAAATGTCGGTGGTCTCCTTTGTGTAAAATAAACGACGTAACTTCATGCTTTAGATCCTTTCTGCAAAGTGCACTGAATTGCTGAAAGTTGACTTGAGTCTTGTCCTATTCCTCAGTTCATTTGGCCATTTTGGATTTTGGAGAGCCTGAAACTTTGATATGTATGTAATACAGTGAAACAGGAGAGGTCAACTTGGCATCAGCTTCTGCTGTTAAGTGTTAGCCACAATCTGTCATACATACGTCTTTTAGATTTTGAATGATGATTTAAAATTTTCAAAATGAAATTCCATATATGTGCAAACAGATATGGGCACCACGAAATACATATGCAGTGCCTTTCTTCCTTTTAACATAGGTGGCTAGCCAAAGTTTAGAATTTTTGTCATTAAATATGAAATGGATATATGCTAGGCAGTGTTCTCAGAATCTCCATAGATCACCTGCATCACTTGAGGAGCTGGTGAAAAGGTAGATTCTTAGGCCCAGCGCCATCTGTAGACCTTCAGAGTCTTAATGTCTGGTGGTTGGGCCCAGGAGTCTTCATGTTAATAAGCTTCTCCTTTCCGTCACCCCAAAAGTTTTGAATCAATGAAAGAGACATTGAAAACTCTTCAGAGGTTTTACGCTTTCTAGCTTTTCCTCCCTTTGATGATTGGGTTTATAATTCAGCAGGAAGGGGAGACGTCACCAGGGGTTTGTTGGCTTTTTCTTAGCTTGCTTTCTTGCTTGCTTGCTTTTCTTGCTTTCTGTCTCTCTCTCTCTCTCTCTTTTCTCTCTGTTTCTCTCACATCAATCCAGCGTTGCAGGTTTTGTGTAATACAAGTCACTAATCATACTCTGATGCCTGAACTTGAGGAAAATACATGTATATTTTTGTTCTATAAAAATAACCTTAGGAACTGTAGCCATTTCATTGCCTTAATTTTAAGAGGAAAGTACAAAAACAGCTGATTTGTTTTAGTAAGAAACCACATCTTGATGCTTCAGAGTTGGTTTAGGGTGTTAGCTGCTATGAACCTGTTGCCCCTTTCGATCGTGTATTTATGTAGGTTTATCAGTGAAATGAAAGGCTTGTTCCCGTCTAGTCTAACTTTTTGAGTGTGTTTCTATCCAGCCACATAGCCCGTTATCTATTCTAAATGGTTTGCTTAAGCAATAATTATTTTAAAGGATGTGAATTACTGATTCACACAGACTATTGCACGTTGGGGCATTAGGGGCAATAATTCTTCTCCAGTCACGGGAGCCAGTGAATTTAATTTCAGAGATTAAAAATTCACTTTAGATCCTCTAGTTTGATCTTTTAATCAGGATTTTTATACAGCTGCCATGCTCCCCTAATTCAGTGTGCCAGCTTACATTGTGGAAATAAAAGCTAATTTATACACAGCAGGCATATGAAACTCCACTCATTGCAATACTTTCACAGCACAGTGACAGGTAGAGGACTCTGGCACAGGTGCACCCATGAAACTCTGCTTCCACCATGTTCCTGACACCTATCTGCTACACCATTCTGCAAATACAGTTTTTCTACCTGATTGCATATAGCATATATGTCATTACATGTGATACTGTGCAAAACTTTGTATAATTCTGTGTTATTAACAGTTAACAAAACTGGAGCATCTAAATTACATCCAACCTGTGCATGTGATGTTAGGTAGATGTGAATGCAGGGCCTTGGGCCATAACTTACATTTCTCTCAATTTGATCACCATTGAGTCACAATTAAGGGGAAGCAGAAACATCTTGAAAAGACTGCTAGGAAGGAAACTAATACTAGTCATCCTGAAGTACACGTTTCTGTATATTAAAAAATACTTCGATGCATTTTTTTTTGGTGTTTTTTTTTTCCCCTTAAAAAACCTGAAGTGACATGCAGCAGTAATCTGTTCTGCATTGTTCTTGGTGGTGTGTCCCAGCGCCCTCCGGCTTTCTCAGCTGCCGTGAATTATGTGTATCTGTGCGTGCTAAGTACAGTCTTTTTACCAAAGGGCACTGAAACACACAATTGACTGGACAGGTCCACGCGCCATGACAAAACTGTAATCAAGTTATTAAAAATAAAGATGAGTGGGAAAGGAATGCCTTGGTAAGTAAAAAGGCGTCTATATTTAACAACTTTTATCTAGATGGCAACATATTTGCAGAATTTGCCCAGATCCTATTACAATACTGAAAATAGAAAATCTCACCTCCATATTCCTGAGGTCTAATTTCATTAGACTAGTTTTAGTTTAAAAAGACCTTCCTCAGATTGGACCAAATAATACTTACGAGATCACCAGAATGTTAAATGTTGGCACACTGGGGTGAGGAGAAGCCACTACCATTTTTTAGGTGATGGGGATGCCACTGAGTTGCAACAGCTAGATCTTTTCAGGGTGGTTGTGTGCGTGTTTGCCTGATTGGATGCGTGTTCACTTTGTTTTATTTTGTCCAGTTTTGTCTTTAGCGTGTTTATTAACTTCTCCTGTCTTGTTTTGTTTTAATGCTCTTGGCCCAGTGGGTCTCAAGAGCACTGGCTTAATTCTAGTCAGTTGATTTTTTTCTGTTAAAACTGATTGTTGTTAAAACATTTTTTAAAACAAAAACATTATTTGTGCCCTCTTTTATATATGTCAAAGGGATACTGTCAAGTATTTCATTTTTAGATTTTTGTTTTATAAAATTTCTGTTGTTCATATAGTATCCTTTAACCTCTAGTTTTCCATACATCCTTTGTTTCTCATTTTCCTTGACCCATTTATTTCCCAAGGCATAATCACGAAAAACTTTGTACTTTCACAGTCTGTTACTGTAGTAGCACCTGTAACTGTGTTCTTGTTTTGTTAAAAGGATTGGTTTGCTTTTATGGTGCTTGTGCTGGATGGGTGGCTGCCTCAGTAGCAAAACTACCTGACAGTATTTGACAGTGTCCTTTCCAACACCGTTATTCGGGTCTTACAGGCTGGCCACCTCTGTTAGAAGACAGTCGCATGTGAACATCACTGCATTGAGTTTTTGTCTGGTGTAAAGTGTGACATTTAATGTAAACAAACTGCAGGTTTTTTTCAAACTAATTTTAAGAATTTAGTCTTATTTCATTGCAAACTGTGTATCTAATTATTTACATTACTCTGTTCAGATGAGATGGTTACTACTACTTGTCCACGATTTTCATTTGAAAAGCAAGTATCTGTACAATTTCCCCCCAGTCAGCATTATTTAACACTCCCCTTAACTGTCTTTGAACTTTCTCTTTTACCAAAAATGTCAAGTCTTTATAGTTGTAATGTCACCATGTTTCCCATTTCTGTTAATACTTCTATGAACCCCTCAAGTATTGAAGGGAACTAGCTGTCAGGTTCAAGGATTACAAGTCTGAGTCTCCTAATATACAGCATCACTCTGAACCCTGAAATAATATTTTTCTCTGTTACAGTTTTCATCTGTGTGCCACCTCTGTTGTTAGAGGTGGTTGTCAGTAGACCTTACTGCGTTAGCTGTCTTTGATGAGGAGTTATTATTGGTTCCTGAATAAAACATTAACCTTTTAAGTCAGAAGGAACCTCAGGACTTCTTAAGGTTTGTTTGTATTTTTTAAAACCAGAGAATAAGGAACTGATTTGGCTATGAGGTTTGACATTATACTTTTCTGTAAGCTTTCCCACAAAACAACATTGTTGATTTGAGGATATTATAATGTGTTAAACTGTTTTTTAAATGTAAGTGGTTATTCTCCGACTTGGTAACTATGTTCTGAAAACACTGCATTTAAGAATTTTTAAAAATTGGTTTTCTAAAATTAAAATGTCCAAATTAGGCATATTGCTGGGCTCAGATTGATGTGAAGTGCCATGGTTCCGGCTGAATTTTAAGCATATTTTCATTTAGATATAAAATATGTGAAGTATGCTTGGTTGGTTACAGTGGGAACCCATGACATAGTTAACCAAAGAATATGTTTGGTTCAATAAAAATAGAAGTTTCATAATGGGCATTCATTCTGTTTTAAGGGAATGAATGAAGAATCGGTTTCCTGCTGTAGTGCTCTGTGGGGAAGTCTTAGTAAAGACCGGAATGCTGAGGTCGGCTGTGGCAGTTCCCTCCTCAGAGTTGGGTGGTGTGGCTTGCCCATTACCCGCGTGAAGCTCACATCGTTACCCTCCTCTCCCGCTGCGGTTGGATCTTCCCCTGTTCCCAGGCCCTCCCAGCAATTGGAGAGGTGGTTTTTTGTTTTTTTTTTTTTTAATTTTGGTTTTGGTTTTGTTTTCTTCCCCCCAGTCTGCATTCTTAGGCCTCTTAGCTATTAGGAACTGTCAGATACATACTAGTAGCTAATTTTCCTGAAATTACATACTGCATCTGCACTATGTACCTACTGGGGATCTGACCTCAAGTGTTTTCTGAGCCCAGGCTTCCTGGTGTGGTGTCTTTTACCACATAAAATTATTACAGATTGCAAATGTTGGTATTGTGATTTGATTCTCTGTACAAAGAAAGAAGCTCTATGCAGTGAGTTTGTGGTTTAATGGTCACAAAAATGTTAGCACTGCTACCACTCAGCACGTGTAAAATTTTTTAAATTTATAAATATTAAAATTTTAAACTTACACTAAGACTTTTCAGTTTTTTTTAAAGACCCAGGGATGAGTGTACTGGTTAAATATTTACCTCTATTAACATAACTAATGAAGGTATAAAGTTGCATTTAGTTTTTCAGAAGATGCTGCAGTGCGGTTTTAGGAAATAAATTAAGGCTATGTATTGAGCCAGTCATAGGCTGAATATCAGGTTGATAAAATTTTATTTGTATTTTTAAAATTCATAAATGGGAGTTAAAATGTGTCTTGTCACTAAATATTTTTATTACATTTTTGTTTTGACCATGTGTGATTTGTTCATGGATATTTAGCTAGACTCTTTTATGAAACTCATTGAAATGGTGCTAGTTTCTTTATCATTATAGGAAGATTGACACTGGGGACATTACACAGTCCTAAAATAATTTTAAACTTAAAAAAAATGAAGACGTCTGTAAAAATAAAAATCAAGATTTGCATTACCTTCTGGGAGAACCCCTGGTACTCACAGAATATCCAGTATTAGAAATATAACAATTTTATCTATATTTTATAATATTTATCTCAGCCCACAGCCTTAAAAACAATTTCACAGTTAAGTGATTATCTTTGGTGCATATTTAGTAAATACTTTTAGCAGTTTGAGTCATTCTTTTTGGCCTTTCAGGGAAAGTGGTGAATTACCATCTTATTGTGTGCTAGACAGATCCACCCTTTGCCTAGTGTTAAATCTTGTAAACATATGAAGTGAAAAGTTATTTTTAAAGAAAATGCATTTTTAAAATGTTCATTTTTAACCTGGATTTGCTTTGAATATTCTTTGATTTGTAATGTTGTTATTTAGGTTATATTGAGATTTATTCCCCTCCAAAGGTGGATAAAGAAAAGTTGTTTAAGAAAACCAATTAGAGTGTATTTTTGTTTCCTTTCTTTCATTACCAAGTGTGGGGCCATACACACAAGCTAATCATCTGTCATTTGAGAGCCACAGATGATTTCAAAGGTCCCAAATACATAAAAATCTGTAACTGCTTTTTTAAAAGACATCTTTAATGGGGCTCTCCAAAAATACAGTTTGGTTGCTTATGAGTGACGCCTTTGACTGGCTGATTAGATTATAAGACAGTTTTGTTTGTTTGTTTTTTGAGACGGAGTTTTGCTCTGTGGCCCAGGCTGGAGTGAGCAGCGCGATCTCGGCTCACTGCAAGCTCCTCCTCCCGGGTTCACGCCATTCTCCTGCCTCAGCCTCCCGAGTAGCTGGAACTACAGTCGCCCACCACGCTCGACTAATTTTTTGTATTTTTAGTAGAGACAGGATTTCACCCTGTTCGCCAGGATGGTCTTGATCTCCTGACCTCGTGATCCGCCCGTCTCGGCCTCCCCAAGTGCTGGGATTACAGGCGGGAGCCACTGCGCCCGGCCTTCTTTGTTTTTTTAAACATAGGATCTCAGATCGGGTCTTGTGCATTCTATGTAATCTCAAATGGCAATTCAGTTTGACTTCTTTTAAAACTAAGTGGAAGTGGTATATTTGGTGAAATAAATGAAATAATCTTTTGCTGGGAAATTCCACACAGCACCCCCGGCAGCATCCTGTGTCAGTTCTGGCGTATAATTCAACCTCCTGCTGAGCGTCCCTGTAAATTAGTTTTAATATATAGCATGAGAGTGAACTGAGGTAAGTCATGGATGTTTCCCAGAGATGATGAATGAACAAAAACAAATAGGATCTGCTAAACATTGTTATTCCCATAGTAGTGAGCAGTTTTGTTCTTGTTTTGATAATGTTCATTTCTGCCTACTTTACCATCTTAGGCTTCAAATACTCCTTTAAGAAAGCCCAAGATATATTGAGTAGTGGAACTTCTTATTTGTACACCTGTTTATAACTGCACTGCCCTGAATGTTATGGTTATTTCTAAGGACTTACCTGGTAAAGCTAGTTGAATTGGTAGACTACAGGGTAGAGGCAGACCTAGATTCAATTTCTAACTAAGCTACATAGGGCTTACATTAATTTCCACAGGTCTGTTATCCATACATGAGCTTATAAGTGTTCCAAAGAAAAAATTTAAAAGTGATGGATAAAATACAATAGTAGATGTTCAATAAATTCCATTGTATTTAAAGATGATTTCTGAAAACACATTTCATTTTATTAGATAAACGTATCCTAACACTTAGTCTGATACCTAATAGTCAATTGCTTTTAAATACATGCTGTAGTATCTTCATATGATACTACGTTGTAGCCCTAGCCACAACCACCCTAGGGATATTGGGGTAGAATTCACCATATTTATTTACTGTATCTTTTTTTTAATGAGAAAATGGATCTATTTATGTCAACTATCTTAGTGTGTTCTATTTAAGTCAACTATCTTAGTCTGTTTGATGCTGTTACAATACCTGAGACTAAAGAACAGAAACTTATTCTCTCATTTCTGGAGGCTGCCCTTCGCCTTCCATCATGTGGAAGAGGCAAGAAAGCCGTCACCGGATGCTGGCAAGAGAGAATCAACTCCCTCCTTCAAGCCCCTTTGTAATGGGACCTAATTTCATTCATTAGGGAGGAACTCTCTTGGCCTAATCACCTCTTAAAAGCCTCATCTCTCCATACTGGCACATTGGCAACAATTGAATTTTGCAAGGGAGCTATTCAAACCACAGCAACAAGGATTTTATTTTCTGCTGAATATGTACCTATTATTTCTACAACAATGAAAAAATCCTAACAGTGATTCTCAAAGTGAGTTTCATGCATTAGTAATTCTTAAAAATAATTGTTATTAAATGCGTTTTGATAAAACGGGTTTCTTCAGTGCATTAAGTTGAAGGCTTTAATACATTAATGCCTATTGTGAAACTCAGAAGAAGAGTTTAACCACATTTTCCTGATTTTTACTTTATACAATCTTTTCTCAAAGTACCTTATAGGACTAGAAATCTAAGCAATATCCTTTGCAACATGCTTAGAATAATTCGAATAACTGTGATAAAGCACTCAATGGAAGAAAAACACGTGAATCTGTTTTTGTAATTACAGGTAATTTGTTGTTTTAAGAAAAACTGAGTCTAGTGTGGTTTTTGGTTTTTTTTTTGAGACAGACTTCCTCTGTCACCCAGGCTAGAGTGCAGTGGCGTGATCTTGACTCACTGCAACCTCTACCTCGTGGATGTAAGCGATTCTCCTGCCTCAGCCTCCCAAGTAGCTGGAAATACAGGTGTGTGCCATCACACCCGGCTAATTTTTGTATTTTTAGTAGAGATGGAGTTTCGCCATGTTGACCAGGTTGGTCTCAAACTCCTGACCTCAGGTAATCTGCCCACCTCGGCCTCCCAAAGTGCTGAGATTACTGGCGTGAGCCCTGCACCTGGCCCCGAGTCGTTCCTTCACTTGTCTCATCAGCTGCCTCCAAGAATGGTGGCAAGAGATATTTAAGGCCCTCACAGGGCGCGGTGGCTCACGCCTGTAATCCGAACACTTCGGGAGGCCGAGGCGGGCGGATCACCTGAGGTCAGGAGTTCGAGACCAGCCTCACCAACATGGTGAAACCTCCTCTCTACTAAAAATACAAAACTTAGCTGGGCGTGGTGGCAGGCGCCTTAATCCCAGCTACCCAGGAGGCTGAGGCGGGAGACTCGCTGGAACCCGGGAGGCAGAAGCCACACTGAGTCGAGATCACACCACAGCTACTCCAGCCTGGGCCACAGAGCAAGGCTCCGCCTAAAAAAAAAAAAAAAAAAAAAGGAACTAAGATCCTAATTAAAGTTAAACCCACTGTTTTGCACTGAGTCACGTAGGTTTTCAAAATTAAGGCTTTATTGGTCAATTGCTCAGTCTTTTAATCCAATCGTTGACTTTAAATGTTGACATCAAATTGAGGCTTTGGTAAAATTTAAGGGATTGGCGGTGAGGGGAGGGGAACCTTTAAAACTCGTTAGTCTTTCAGGGTCTTCAGTGTTGAGTGCGTTGATCAATATATATACAACCCCCAGGATTGTAAACGCGAGATTGAGACGCTGCCGGGAGATGGCCTGTCTTGCGCAAGCGCCTGGGCGGGAGGGTCTGCGCCTGCGCGAGCGCGACTCTGCCCAGCCCCTCCCACTGCTCACGGCGAGTCTGGGCGACTGCGCACGCGCGGCTGGTGAGTGGCGGGTTCCGGCGCAGCTGTGGGGCTTGCTGCGAGCCGCCGAGGGGTTTTGGACTGGGTTGGGTGCCTTTGGTGTGTGTGTGTCTCACCTTTTTTCGAGGGCAGTGGTAGCGGAAGAGTTTAGTTAGCGGTGGCTGGCGGATGCCTGAGGGAAGGAGCTGGCGCCGGCCTGAGAATGGGTCCTGGTTGCTGGTTGGGCGCCGTCGGGCCTCGTGTCCGGGTCGCTGAAGGGGCCGCGTCCTGGGCCGCGCACGTTGGCTCCCGGGCCTCAGGCGGCCTTGGTGCTGAGGGGGACGTGAACCCCTAGGCTGCGGCAGCGCGTGGAGGCCTTCCTTCCGCGTAGAAACAGGACTCGGCCTGCGGTCCTTTCCATCTTTGCTCTCCGAAGTTCGTGGAGGGAGTTGGCGAAATACCCGACCAGGCTTGACTGTCGGCTCCTGGAGGGCGGGCCCTGTCGCCGGGGCTTCTGAGGCGGGCACCCTGCCGGGTGCGGGGGCTGCGAGGTGGAATAGACCAGGACGAGGGCGGCTTTACTGCGAAACGGCTTCACTGCTGCTGCCTTGACTCCGAAGCCAGTAGGTTCGGAGGTGCAGAAGAAGCGCTGGGACGTTCCTGGAGGGAGCCACGTGTCAGACAGGAAGGCCTTCCTGATGGGGGTTGTGGTTACACGCGGTGTACATCACAACGTCGCTCTGCACACCTACGACCTGCATTTCACTGTAAGCGTTACCTCCTTTTTAAAGTTAATTTAAAAACAGGATAAATAGAATTCTGGAAAGCGATAAGGAAGGAACTGTTTGAGGCAGGGGGACTCAAAGATGAAAAGAGAATGAAAACCTTTGGCCCTTTTCTGGACGCAAATTGGACTAAGGGTAGAATCATACAGCAATCTATAAAAAGTATTTGGAGAATATCTAGGCCTTACCCATTCGTAGAGGGAGTCTCGCTCTCCTGCGGTTTACTGGAGTCTGGGATGGCTCCTAGGTTAATGCTCTTTCCGCTGGATCACACTGTCTTAACCTAATTTCACACAAGAATGAATGTGGAAATTATAGTATGGTGGTTTTGCCCTAAGTAAATTTGGTAACATGGAAATTGAGTCATTTTATACGAAAAGAGACTAACCACAGCCCATGAGAAGCCGGCTAATCCCTGCTTACGCTGCAAACCAACGTGTCCGACCCTTTGGTCAGGCTGTTCCATTCTTCTGAAATCCTCACTCTTACCCTACCTTTCCTTCAGGTCGAGTTGAAACTCCATCTGCTCTTTCACTCCTCTCCCCACTCAGGCCCTCCACTCTGATCCCAGGGCGTGAATGGTGCTTCTCTATAGAGGGCATCCACCTTACTGTTGGTGTTCGCCATGTGTCTGCCTAAGCTAGAATTCTTCGGCTGCAGCTTATGGGGTGGGATACTTCTTTGATGTGGAGGGCTGTCTTGTGAATTTTAAGTTCGGCAGCCTCTACCCACCGGATGCCAGTAGCACCCTCCTTCCCATTTATGGCAACCAGAAATGTCTCCAGGCATTGCCAGATGTTCCCCTTAGCGACAAAAGGGCTCCTCGTTCTGTGAGAACTGCTGATCTAGAGTCTGAGCCACATAAGGTCCAAGGTCAGTTTAATAATAATATAATTTCAATATAATCCATAGGTACAAATTTTAAAATATAAAGAAAAACTTTTTTACTGCCACTTGTGGTGCAGGACCACCCCATAGACAGTGTGCCCAGAGTAGCCAGAAAAAATTTAAAGATAATAATAATATAACAGTACTTCCCAACTCTTTTGGATCATACACCCCCGTAGAAATTTTAAAAATAATAAAGCTATAATAGTGATTTAAAAAATGTTAAAAATAGGTTAATTTAATTTTTTTTTTTTTTTGGAAATGAAGTTTCTTGTCACTCAGGCTGGAGTGCAATGGCGAGATCTCAGCTGACTGTAGCCTCCATCTCCCGGATTCAAGCGATTCTCCTGCCTCAGCCTCCTGAGTAGTTGGGACTATAGGCGGCTGCCACCATGCCTCACTAGTTTTTGTATTTTTAGTAGAGATGGGTTTCACCATGTTGGCCAGGCTGATACCGAATTCTTTACCTCAGGTGATATGCCCGCCTCAGCCTCCCAAAGTGCTTGGATTATAGGCGTGAGCCACTGCTCCCGGCCATTTCATTTAATCTTTGATGTTTATCTTGCTAACCGATTTCAGTTTTCCTCATTAGAAGTGATGCACTTTTGAACTCACTTTAACAATGTAGGAAACATTCTATGACTCTTAAAATTGCAGCCCCCTATGCTCTCCATGTGTTCCTCTGTTAATCTTACTGTTATCTAACATTTATTTCATACGTATTGTTTTAGTCTGTCTTCCTCTCTAGAATGTAAGCACCAAGAGAATAAGGACTTTGAGACTTACCACCTAGAACAGTGCTTCCTACATGGTAGAAAGTGATTATCAAAGGAGTGGATTTGATACACTTCAAACTTTTATTTTGGGATCAAATTCTTACATAGATTGGAACTTAATTGCCTTTTACAGCTATGAAAGTAGACAGTTTTATTAAATTGCTCTTTGGAATTCCTTGTTTTGCACTTAAAGTCAACTGATTCCTTTTTGGTTTTCATGTTTTATTTCTAAGTGATTAACAAGTTACAGACTGTAATTTAAAAGCCCTTCTTCGATGGCCGGGCACGGTGGCTTGCGCCTATAATCCCAGCACTTTGGGAGGCCGAGGTGAGTGGATCACGAGGCCAGGAGATCGAGACCATCCTGGCTAACATGGTGAAACCCCATCTCTACTAAAAATACAAAAAATTAGCCAGGCATGGTGGCGGGCGTGTGTAGTCCCAGCTGCTGGGGAGGCTGAGGCAGGAGAATGGCATGAACCCGGGAGGCAGAGCTTGCAGTGAGCTGAGATCACACCACTGCACTCCAGCCTGGGCGACAGCAGGAGACTCTGGTAATAAAAGCCCTTTTTCAGTGGTGCAGCTGTGGAAAGTACTAATAAAAATGAAAATGGCTGGGCATGATGGCTCATGCTGGTAATCCTAGCACTTTGGGAGAACAAGGTGGGTGGATCACTTGAGTCCAGGAGTTCAGGACCAGCCTGGGCAACATGAGGAGACCCCTGTCTCTACAAAAATTAGCTGGGCGTGGTGGTGTGCACCTGTAGTCGCAGCTACTCAGGAGGCTGAGATGGGAGAATTGCTTGAGCTGGGGAATTTGAGGCTGCAGTGAGCCATGATCACACCACTGCACTCCAGCCTGGGCAACAGAGTGAAACTCTGTCTCAAAAAAAAAAAATTATTTCTATGTCAAAGATAAATATATATGCATATGTGTGTATGTATGTGTCTGCATATGTATATGGACACACTCATACTCACAAACACTTATTTTTCTTTCAGTTCTAGGCAGTATTGTGGTGTAGCCTTTTTTAGGAACTTGTACTCTTCAATTTTGCCAGGCAACATTGGCTTTTAATAGTTCCCTGATTTTTTTCCTGTATGAACTCACAATTCTGAAATACCAAATTGAAACCTTTTAGTTGTTTGAAGATCATTTTGCCGTGTTTTCTCAGTTCAGCATGCGCACAAGCTAATCTTTGTAATTTTTACTTGGAAATATTCCAGCCTGTTGGGTCCTCGTATGCTTTTCTGAAAATGTGTTCTTTGTGCTTATTGCAGTAAACTAGAACTATTCATTTCAAGTATTCATACCATTCTTTGGTGGGACTTCTATAGACAACCCCATGATGACTGAAATTATTTTTAGTTCTAAGTATAAAAACCTTAGAAGTAGATAATCCATCACTATTCAGCTTATAAAACTGAACACTATACCCATTCAACACTATTCTCCCCTCCCCCAAACCCCTAGCAACCACAATTCTGCTTTCTGTCTCTGTGATTTTGACAACTCTAGGTACTTCATATAAATGGACTTACGCAGTATTTTTTTAAATGACTGGCTTATTTCATTCAGCATCATGTCCTGAAGGTTTATCTATATTGTAGCATATATCAGAATATCCTTTTCCAAGGGAATCATATTCCATTGTATGTGTATATTTCATTTTCCTATATTCATGCTTGCTGATTCTCTTTTGCCTGCTTAAAACTGCTTTTAATTCCTCTAGTGAGTTTTTCATTTCATTGTTGTACTTTTCAGCTCCAGAATTTCTAGTCTCCTTTTGTTTTCTGTCTCTATTTATATTTCCAATTTTGTTCATATGTCATTTTCCTCACTTACTCTACATCTTTCTTTAGTTATCTGAGAATCTTTAAGATAGTTATTTTAAAGTCTTTGTCTATGAGGCCAGCCATCTAGTCTTTCTCAGGGATGGTTTCTCTTGATTTATTTTTTTCCTTTGAATGGGCTGTACTTTCCTGTTTCTTTGTGTGCCTTGTAATTTTTATGTTGAAAATTAGGCATTTGAATAATAATGTGATAACTCTGCAAGCCATTGTGTTTCAGTGTCTCAGTCCTTAGATGTCTGGCTTCCCGAAAGGGTAAAAAAGAAAAGTAAAAGCATGGGGGAAAGGTGCTGGCACTTTAAATCTGCTGGAAGTCACTTTAGCCAGAGGGAAAGGGGCTTGCAACAATGACTGCCACCTGTGTCTTTGGCTTTCTTATTGGAAGCAGCAAAGGTAGTCAGAACAGATTATTCCAATGTTTGAAAGACAGGTATTTCCTGTAAGTTTTGTGCAAGGTGTTCCTCAATGTGTGCATAGCCAAGCTGCTCCTGGAACTATTCTGTGTTTAGATTTTGTGTTTGCCTATTTGGCATGTATTAATTACAGGGATAAACTAAAGGCTAAAGTTGTTTACATCATCCTTTTAAGCCCTCTCTTGTGGGTGCACAAACCTCATATCACAGACTTCCTGGTGACAACCATACAATGCCTGTTTTTGCTTTATCCCCTATAGGGGATGTCCCCACCTAGATCCTTCCCACTTACTTAGCAATAAAGGCATAGTCTCAGGTCCTTTCTCTGCTTTGTGGTCTCTGCTCGTGACAGAGTTTCACGTGGCCCCCTGTGGCATGCCATGACCCTCATTTCTGGGGAGAATTGTAACATTAAACTTTCTTTTCAGTGGCATTGATCTCTCCATGTCCTGTCTGTCACCTTTATAAATTAAGACTTAAAACAAGAGTGCATGCATAGCTGCTTGTCAGCGGGCTAGAGGGTGAGAATGGGTAGTTGCTGCTGATCAGAGAGCTGAAATTCGCTGAAATTAACTACTATTTACAATCTTAGCCTCCCAATAGACCCTTCAAAAGATTGAGGTGTCCAGTCTTTTGGCTTCCCTGGGCCACATTGGAAGAAGAATTGTCTTGGGCCACACATAAAATACACTAATAGCTGAGAATCTGGGTAGGCCAAGATGGTTAGAGTGCAAGGCTGAGTACCAGAGAGAATAGAGAAAGAACTCCAGGTATCTGCAGAGGGACCTCCTTGAGAAACTACTGGAAGATACGGAAATAAACATCTGAAAAGATTTGAAGGAACAGTACCTGACTCATTCAAGACCCAGAATAGTGTCTTTTTCTACCAGCTGGACTGGAAGACCTTATAATTTATGGGGCATTGGATAGAGTACTTCAAAGGGTTTTGCCTCAGTAATGGAGTGTAATCAGTCTAGACTAAGTGCTGCTCTGCTCTTGTCTAACAGTCTTAAAAATGAGACCTGAAAGGATCAAATTGTTTCCAAGTAACTAA